TGCCTTGTTTCCTGACAGCAGGGTTAGGATGGATCAGATGGACATTTTATCATTGTTCGAAGAAGTACTCCATACAAGTAAAAGTCCTGGATTCAAAGTGTTACTTAAGTAAAAGTATTGTTATCTAAAGGTACTTAAAGTATGTCCTCAAAGTCCTCATGATGCAGAATGACTCTTTATACAGTAATATATTAAAATTGACAATATATTAGGCCGTTTATCAGACACAAGTACATTTTAGTATTGTATTTCGTTAGAATCTGGGTTGATTAGTAGTTCAGGACGGCATCATATCAATGAAGTATATATCATGTCAAATATCAATTGTCAGTGTTACGTAAATATAGGAGTAAAAAGAATGTTATCTTCCTCTGAAATATAGTGAAGTGGAAGTATACAGTAGCATTAAATGGAGAAAAAAGACTTGAGTAAATGTACTTAGTGACTTTCTACCACTGAATTATAAAAGTTTCCCATTAGAGGCATTGCTTATAATCTGTGGATTTTAGACTCCATTACATATGAACGTTTGAAGTAGCCTGTGTGGACAAAAAGGGACTTAGTTAGTACCGTTGCCAAATACTGCTCTCCACCCTGTTCCTGTCCACAGGAGGAAATCTGCTCTCAGACGTTGTGCTCATTTCACAAAGTGAGACTTCAGTGTCTGGCTTTAATTGTGTTATCTAACTGTAGTCTGTCAGAAATGGACACACAGCATGATGGGAGTTTTGTTTAACTGCATCAGATTGAGGGATCCATGATTGTCTCTTTACACCGAAGGCTTGGATAGAAATGGTCCCTCTCCGTCGACTGATTACAGAGCAGCAGAACGAAAGTGCAGCTTTTATTTAAAGTGCTTTTGGAGAGATATTTGGAATACAAAAGACAGATATATCTTTCAGGAGAACAAATATCACGTCTTAATCTTTATATATCTTTTACCGGGGCGACATTTAATCTTTGCCTCTTGAGCAAACGATCACTAGCTATCATACTGAATCAAATCCATGTAAAGCATTGAATATATATTCTAATATATTGTGCTTTGAATTATACTTCCTACAAGTGCTATATATAACTTTTGCCATTCATATGAAAATAAAACAACTCACTGAATCATGAAGGTTCATGCCCTACACCGGACAGTACACAAACACACCAAGCCCGACTATCCTGTGCTTCTCATGCACCTAAAGGCATCACACCAGCACAAACATCTACACTGAACTTATACTACACACCTCTACCAGTCATTTCCTCTGACCTCCTCTCTTTATACTTGGAGTTAACAGCAGTGCGTTCTGCAGAGTGACACTGAGACAGAGGGCCTGACTCAGACGTGTGTGTGTGTGTGTGTGTGTGTGGGGGGGGGGGGTCTGACATTTTTCTCTTGCAGTCTATGGACTAACATGATGGTGTGTATGAAACTCTTTTCAGTGTCTAATGCTATTATAGTCATTTTCAGTTCTGATTGGTCAACCCCTTACAGATGTCCCGCCCCTTAGCCTATCATGTACAAGGTGTTGGAGCGCTAGCCAATAGAAGCAGAAGTGTTTCATCGTGATGTCACTATATGGTCCACTTTACATGGAGATATTGAAGAACTTTTCTGAGTAAATCTCTGGTAAATGGGAAATAGATTTAGTAGCGGAGTTGTGTGAGTTTGTAGTCGGACGTTTTAATATACTTATGACTTTTAAGATAAGGACTTTTTGCCGTTCGATGAATTCTCCAAGTTATCTTCAGGAATTCAAGGACGTGAGTAATTGTAACAAAATGGTCGCTTTAAGAGAGATGTTGTCCTTTAAACCCAGTCTGAATCAGGCTCTTTGTCTTGCATGCAGGTCACAGTACACACACACACTCACACACACACACACACACACACACACACACACACACACACACACACACACACACAGCTCAATGTACAGCGCCTGCCATTCAAGCTCTAATGGGGAAGCCGTACTTTTAGGGACAGCCAAACACACCACAGGAGTGAGACATGGACGCCTGGACTGCATGTCGTCCTCTTCAGTAGATACAGTAGTTTGGAAAGGTCAAATACACGGTTCTGCAGAGAGAAGCACGATGGTGGTACAAGGCCTGTTTGAGAGGAGGCTGAGCCCTTTGTACGCCACCACAACAAGGTCTACCTTCACCTGTTTCTGATCTGAGCTGTCCCACTACTTCATATTAATAACAGAAAATGTTTCAAGTATTCACAACAGTTTTAAAGGCATTACTTTACAAGCTGTCCTTGGTTCACTACCCGGGGATTAATCTCAGGACTCATGATTAACGGGATATGTAAAGAAAAAAAAATTATTTCTGAAATTTGTTGAGTTGAGTTGTGAGATTAAATTCAGAATTTTTAAATCAGAAATTCTGACTTTAATCTCAGAGAAAACAACAAATGCTCACTTGGCACTAAGCCTCTTCTGTATTATTCTTATTCTTTTCTTAATGCTGACAAGTTGACCTCCTCATGCCGCAAGAGTAATCTGTTATGAATGAATTTTGGCGACAAAAGGTGCGTAAATGTGAAAATATAACTATGTTTTCTCAGGTTTTGGTGCAGAGCCGGTTAACACCTCGTCTGAGAGAGAACACACACACTCCCATTTAACAGTCTGGTTGGTTTTCCTTCGTGATTGTGTAGACTACTGAAGACGGGCTGCATGTGATCATCTCATCACATGTAAAACACCTTTCCTTCAAGAGTGTCAATCTGAACTGCCATATAGTATAACTGATATAACAACAGCAACACACTTATCCTCACGAATAATGACATCTACATATATCTTTTCAAGCAGCAGTCACTGTCTGTTTTCCTTTTAACCGGATGGGGAGAAGAGATTCAAATATATTAATATGGTGATCTTTAAATGTCACACGTCAATTATTTTCAAGTGTTTAAAGTTCAATGCAGGTACCAAATCGCATACATGTGACTCATCTTACTGGAACACAATGTTTTATATTACAATGTGTTAGTGGACTAAGTGCCTGTGTTGGATAGATTGATCATAAAAGAGATATATTGCACTAGCTAATACATTTTGGGATTCATTTTGGCTTGTTATGCCAACTTTGTTAACAACTGTAAACTGATCGGTGCTTTTCCACTGACAAAAGCACTACGGCAGAACACTAACAAAGGGCCGTGTCCGTGTGTTATCACAGGAAATGGAAGATAAATTACACACAGCAGAAACCAGCCCATAGTGTCCTGCTTCTCCTTTGGACTTTCCTTTCTCCCCTCACCTCCATGCTGCCGAGGTAAGCAGTGAATCAGCACATTGCTACATCTGACACACTGCAGGCTATTCTTTCACTCTGGTCGCCTTCACAAAGTGCTTTTGCCGAATGCACTGCGGGGAAACGGTATCATTGGGGTATCATACTACTCTGTGTGTGTGTGTGTGTTTTGCAGTATTATTCAAATGTGGCAATTGTAATTCTTTCTGATGAATGACAAACCAGTGTAGGATTAACCATAGTTGGTCCACTGACAGGCAACACACACCAGCAGTGTGAGGCCTGTCACAACACTTGTCAAAACACAAAACACAAGCAGATCCCACATGTGAGTTCTTCTGTTCTTTTTTAGTTGCTATGTAAATGTAATGAATAAATGTAGTATTTTTCTCATTGCACGATCTATACGGAATACATAATAAGTATATTTATTATATATATGTTTTTTCCTTCGCCGATCATTTGTGGTTTTTCTGCATCGTAAAATTGATTAAGGTGCAGGAATGAGTCCTAAAACCTGGAAATGAGTCCGCATTTTTACCACTTCCAGATCCCTCGTCTCAACATCAATGTTTTTTTTAAACTGGTTTTGGTTAGATGCCTGAAATAAGATCTGTGGTTAACACAAGCCGAGGAGATTTACACGTTATGTTCTACACCATAAAATACGTCAGTAAATACCCCAAAGGTAAATGTCGGAGGCTTCTATGTGTGTTAAAAACAGGGGTTACTGACTAATGATTAAAAGAGACAATTAAACGTCATCATGCCAAACATTAGCTGCCTTTAGCTTAGCGGTGGTGATGCCCATCCATGATGTAGTTCCTTTATTGTGTAACGTTAGCTTTTTACTACTGCTGCTTGCAATAATTTATTTACGGTATGATTATCCTTCAAATCAAAACGTGTAAGTATCACAAACTTGTGTTACCCGGATATATCTTATTTTCGGCAATACTTGATATGCTTTGGGAGCTAAAATATTAAAGTGGTTTAGCAGGCACCACATTCCTAATAACACTATAGCATCACCTTTCAATGTCACTTATAATTACTGTACACTCTTCAGGTTTATAGGGGAGGGGTGGGGGGATTTAAAAATTCTGCTCAGGGCTCCAAATAGGTTTAGTCTGCCCCTGGCTAAAGTGCATTAAATAGCACTGAGCATTGAAAATGTCAGAAAACCAATAGTTGACATTTTCAAGATCATTGGGCTATAAACGTATTGGCAGGTTACAATGTACCAGCCCTTGGTACATGACATGGGACACTGCATTATAGGGTATTAAGAACAAATAAGGAGAATATTTAGGGTCATTCTGGCAATTAATGCTAACTTCTGGGTCGGCCAACAACATATTGTCATCACTGCACCGCTCTATACGCTTTCCGAGCCAAAATATTAAAGTGGTTTAGCAGGCACCACATTCCTAATAACACTAGCATCATCTTTCAATGTCACTTATAATTACTGTACACTTTTCAAGTTTAAAGGGGAGGGGTGGGGGGGTTTATAAATTATGCTCAGGGCCCCAAATAGGTTTGGTGTGCCCCTGGTGCACTAAACAGCACTGGGCCACGAAAATGTTAGAAAACCAATATGTTTCACTACAACAGATGGGATATGAACTTCTTGGCAGGTTACAATTATAGTTTACCAGCCCTTGGTAGAGGAGCCAACACGGGACACTGCATTATAGGCTATTAGGGAGGGACACATAAGGAGAGTATTTAGGGTCATTCTGGATATCTCATGAACAGAATCCCTAGAATACATGCAAAATACACAGCCTACTGCAAGGTCAGTCCTCCTGCTCCTCACTGTCCTGCCGGGCGTCTATCCTCTTCTCTTTGTTGCACGAGAAAATTCGTCGCATCTCCTCTTCGTACCGGATGAAATTCTCTCCAAACCTGGCCCAGGCTTTCATGGGGACGGTGATGGTGTTTCTGTACGGCTGCCGCACCTCGCTGATTTTTAAAAAGATACCGTACCGGTTGGAACCAACGTCAAAGTAAAACCTCTTGTTGTCCACCCTGAAGGACGCAGCCTCGGGGAGCTCGGGGTCTTCGTCTTGGTTCCTGGCGGCGGCTCGGTCGTCGCTGTCTCCATAGTCCTCGATGAGCTGAGACAGCGCGTCCCGGAACTCGATAAGCCCCTGCGCGGGCAGCACGATGGTCTGCTCGATGCCCTGACCGTAGTACCCCATGGTGCCGTGTCCTTTGCTGACAGTCTGCCGGATGCGGAGGAATCGCCCTCTCTGGTTCTCCTTCAGATCCAGGTAATACTTTCTGTTGTCCCTCTCGATGAACTCGCTCTTGAGCACGCGGTGGGCATGTTCGTCTACTGAGCCCGCGGAGCCGCCGGGGGACAGCGCCGCGTGCGGCTCAGACTGCGCTCTTCTGCGGGAGTCGTGCGCGCGGCCCTGGCCGTTTTTGCTGTGCTCCTCGAGCTGCTGTGCCGCGAGGCCCCCCCGCAGTCCGATCCGTGCGTAATAATCGATGAAGTCCCCCAGGCAGTAGCGCAGCGCCGGGGCCATGGACATGGACAGCGTCAGCTTGCTCTTCCTGATGTTGTCATGCCGGCCTCTGCCGATCCACACCTCGGCGATTTTGAGGAAGCGTCCGCGCACACTCTGCTTCACATCCAGATAGAAGCGTTTCTTCTGGATGTCGACTCGTTTGGAGGCTAACTCCTGGATGTCATTGCCTTGCTGCTGCTGCTGCTGCTGCTGCTGCTGCTGCTGCTGCTGGTGCTGGTGCTGCTGCTGCTGCTGCTGGGAATGGGATCCGCTCTGAACATATTGCTGAGGATATGTGGGTCTCGGTAAAGAATCTGATGCAATCTTACCCCTGCCTCTTTCCATCCCTCTGCAACATCCATCAGCCATCATGATTTATATTCCACCACTAGACAGCACCCCAGTGGGCGACTAATAGATGAATAAAGCAGGCTTATTCATACAGCTGGCTGCAGCTACACACACAAGTTAGCGAGATGCCTCGAATGACCTAAAAATGGCAGCTAGTGTGGAGTCAACCAGCTGATCGAGCTGTGTGTCCCGAAAAAAAGGTCAAGCTGACTGTTTAGCCGTTTCCTCTGCAAACTCCCAAGCCATTTTCCATCACCTACATGCCTCACAGACACCCCTTTACCGAGGGAGCCAGGGAAGCAGCCAACCTGAAATGGGAGGAGGCGTCCAATACTACATGAACCCGATGAACCCATCCACCCCCCCCCTCCCCGTCCTGAGAATACCTCAGTTAAAGAGACACGGTTTGCACAATGGCTGGCTGTGGCGCTTTCATAGCAGACACACTTAAGCTGCATCAAGCCCATCCGCACATATTATAACCAGGAATATCGATTTATGAGGAAAAGATGCATCATATCACACATTCAGTCTTCGAGATTGAGACAACAATTTAGCAGAGATAAGCTAGTATTGCATCATGATTGTATGATTTGAAATGTCATAATGAAATGTCAAAAAAAGTCAATCCTTCCAGTGATTAAGACCCACTTATTATGTACAACCATGAACCCTCCTTATGTAAGACAATTATATAAGAACATATCAAAGTCTGAAGCACAATTATTTCATATTTGAGACTGATATTCAAGTGTCAGCTGCCAAATATCAAAATATCTTGGGAATATTCAGCATTAAAGGGGAGCAACACCTTAATAAAGAATTCCAATGCTTGCTTTTCCTTAGCCTATATAAGTTCAATCAATATGTGTGATCATGAGCTACTGACTCTCAAACCCAGAGAAATAAGTCTCAAACTTGTGATTTCATCAAGAAAATAGGATTGTGACGCTGGTGGCAGTGAGTGACGCAAAGCATTGTGGGATATTGGTGTGGGAATGAGTCCTAAAACCTGGGAATGAGTTAGCATTTTAGCACTTTCAGTTTCCTCTCAAAGTCAAATTTGTTTTGGTTAGAAGCCCTTAATAAGGTTTGTGGTTAACACAAGCCGATGAACTTTGGTTCATTAAGCTAAATAAGGGCACAAGACGTCATCACGCTGAACACAAGTGTGACTTCGTGGCGGTGAAGTGAGTCATTCAATCGTGATTCTGGCTATTGCATCAACACCTCAAAAAATCCTTAAATGGTGTTAATATGTGGAGATTATCCTGCTGAACAAAATATGCAAGTATTGATTCTTCGCTGCCTGAGGTGTGTGCTGGTAATTTTGAGGAGTTGAGGTAATTTTGAGGAGTGATGCAGGGCCCCAGACCCTCTAGGAAATACTTTGGCCGTGTACTCACTGGCAGCATGACGGCCTGGTACGGCAGCTGCACCGACCTCGATCGTAAGGCTTTACAGAGGGTGGTGAAAACTGCACAGCACATCACCAGGACGGAGCTGCCATCCATGGAGGACCTTTACTCCCAGCGGCTCAGGAAGAAATCACTACGGATTATCAAAGACCCCCATCACCCCAGCCACAAACTGTTCTTTCTGTTGCCGTCTGGCAGACGTTACCGCAGCATCCTGGCAAGGACAAGAAGATTCGGAGACAGTTTCTTCCCGCGGGCAGTGAGACTGTTAAAAAATTGAACTGTTGAAACAACTTCAAACATTCAACTGCTACTCAGTAGTATGTATCTAATACCTAATATATATATATATCATTCCAATAACTTGTATATAGACTCATACTGCACTATTCCACATCATAACTTTATTTCATTTTTATAACTATTATTATTTTTGTATTGCTCTTGCTCTTATTGTTATTATGTTATGTTATTATGTTGCATTGTTGGAGAAGCCTGTGACATAAGATTTTCAACTGCATAATTACTCTGTAGCTATGTCAGATTGACAATAAAGAACCTTGAACCTACCACTTTGTTCTTCTTAGCTCACTCACATCAAACTCACTCTGCCTGTTATGCTCATATTCTATAATAATCAGGGATCATACATATTCTGTAGGGCAGCGGTTCCCAACCTGTGTGCCGCGGCCCCCTAGTGGTCCGCGAAGGCATTGCAAGTGGGCCGCCAAATAATTTTTATTTTTGTATTATTTATTTTTATTTTTTGTACAGGCTAAAGACACAAACATGGACATAACAATAACATATAGGAGATTACTGTACATTCCCATCTCAAACAAAAACAAAAACTGAAGAAATAGAGACACAGTCAGTAGGATCACTTCAACATTTCACAAACAAAAATAGGTTGACAACCAAAAACACAACATGGCAAACATATTTATTGTTCCTTTAATCCCACTCTTCGTTAGAGCTAATTATTTCCTCATTTCATGCCGCGTTGAGCCACCCTTTGATTTTTTGTGGCAAACATTTTTTCCAAAAGAAATTGTATTTTTATTCTACTCTTCAAACACCTTTATTACTCCTTGATTGACTTTTAAAAATATGTATTTTAGCCAGAAGAATAGTTGTATTTATTAACTGTGTGCGGTCTTCATCTAAAAGCCCAAATAAAATATTAAAGGGTGTAAATGTAAATTCAATATTTGCCGCCAAATAATTTGCAAAACATTATGATTTGTGTTGAAACATTTTCATTATTAAGATTTTTTTTTATTTGAACCTCTTTTCCTTTCTTTATTGATCCTCCTTAGCAACGGTCATTACAGTCCTTGACAGCGGTCTGTTATACTGGATTAACAACATGTCACATTTTTATTTAGCCTCCGTATTTTTTACGGTTGAATGTGGGCCGCAAAACATTTTTTGATTCTTAAGTGGGCCCTGAGTTGAAAAAGGTTGGGAACCGCTGCTACTGTATAGGGCATTTCCTCTCAAGTTAAATGATTTTATAATAAAAGAGAAAATACAGTATAATGCCCATTTTGTGCATTTACTGTGACATGTTTACAATGATTTGGAGCAATAGCCAATCAAATCGCACTTGTGATGTCACTATGTTTAGGCAGGGGAGAGAAACTCCCTCCTGGAACGAACTTTCTGATTTCAGCTTTTGCACACCATTTACATGCAGAAAAACCTATATTACAGACTTATATATTCCATGTATTTGTATATATAGACTTTTCTTGCACTATTTCGATTTTATTTGTATTTACTTCCACATCTCAAAACCTTCTCTTGCACTATTTTATTGTTTTATTTGTTTTATGTCCTATATATATTCATGTTGCATTGTTGGAGGAGCCTGTGACTGACGTTTTTTCAATGCCATATCTGCACTGTAGCTAATGTGAACATGACAATAAAGCCTTGAATCTTGAATCCTTTTCAGTTCTTTGTCCTTGTTGAAACGTCTGGTTTGTCATATGCATTTCAGGGGCCTCACATGAACACATCAGCTCCTGACAATCCCTTCTTTTCCACCTGACATGTTGCAGCTTGTTTCAGAAGCTTCCTAGAGTTGATGAAGATATGTTTAAATAATGTGAAGTGTATATTTATACGTCCATGGCGCTGTCCATGGTGCTGAACTAGCAGACACATCGTACCCAGGGATGCTTCACTTCTGCCAGCTTTGCAAAGTGACAAGTGGCAGTTACTAAATCCCCTGGCATTTTTTTTAATAAACAAGCCTTGTTTTGTTGTTATTTCATGCACTCTGACATCCGATTTACATTCAAAGTAAAGTTTGTTAAAAAGAAAATGTAGGGGACAAGATATGCCGTTAACTGATTGTGTTACACAGATTAACACCAATGGTTTTATTACAGAATAAAACAATAAGTACAAGATATCTTATTGTCATATATACAGTATACCGGGCAGTTACCTTACATTACATGTCACTTGTTAGACGCTTTTATCCAGAGGGACTTACATACATTCAGTACTGTGGACAATCCCCACAAGAGCAATTTGGGGTGAAGTGTCTTGCCCAGGGACACAACGACATGCTGACTGCAGTGGGACTCGAACTTGCTACCCCCTGATTCGAAGTCCAGCACTCTATCCACTTAGCCACAGCCGCACTGTACAATGCCATTCTTGCGCTCAGCTCTCCACACCTAAATATTAAGTATAAGATACAAATATATATATATATATAATACAAGCTGACACACATTTAAAAATTCCTGTCTCAGAATAAAAGTGCATGATAAAACAAAAATAGACAGGATATATAAACAGCAGGGTAGAGTACATATGCATAAGAATAGATAGATACAACAGTGTGGATGGGAATATGAATGTATACAGCATGGGTATGGAAACAATATATTGACAGCCAGCTGTTGGTCATGAAGCTGGTGGTTGGTGTCTTTATGCTCCTGCAGCGTATTTCACAAGGAGACATGTTTATGTTGTTCTGCTTATGATCACATTAAATCCATTTTGCCTTATTGTAACCATAAATGTGTCTCATTCCTACAGAAAGAAACTGTACCAGAAGACTGAAGCTGCCAAATGGATTTAACCCATAATACTATTTATTCACACGTTTCCCACTATAACATATTGAAATGTCTATTCCACCTATCATGCTATTTTTAGGCAATAGCATAGGTCTCAGATATATAAAAATCTGCTCAAAATACCAAACAGATCACCCATTCTAGCCATGCCTCATATCCCTCTATTTCACTTCCTGTTTCCAAAGTGCAGATTTTATGTATCTACCGGCAGATTCTGCCGTGATGAAACGCCATATCATGGATTATCAAGGATTATTTCTGAAACAGTATGGAGCTCAAAGGCTTTCTCTCTTGCCGGTTATACCACAAGGGGAGTTCCTTTTTATTTCCTGCTTCTTCACACACATGCTCTCCAGTACATGATGGTGAAATATAATCAATCAAAGTCATTCAAACTAGCTGCACCTTTACCAGCTTTGATAACACTTTAATGCACCAATAATTATAAAACATATCGTATATATTATTCTGAAATGGACCAATCTGCACAATGACTATACTTTTGTTACTTTATTAAGTATATTCTCCAATACTTGTGTACTTTTACTTGAGTGACATTTTGAATACAGGACTTTCACTTGTAACAGAGTACTCTTTGGTGTTTATACTTTTACTCAAGTACAAGATGTGAGTACTTCTTCCACCTAGTCTAAATTGTGTAATCAGCAAAGGAAGTGTGACGTTTTCCCACATGTGTTGTTGCATGCGCACATTCCGCTCAGCACGTGGCGCTGTGGAGTGTCACGTTCCTAGTGAAACCTCAGAAGAAGAGGAAATGCAAAGCCAAGAAAAGCAGAAGCCGAAGAAGAAGAAGCAGGTATAACAACCAGACGCTCAGCTCCTATCTCAACAGGGCGAATATACTTATTTTTAAAACGTATATCCTTATTTTACTACCACTCGGACTGTATCCAGTAACAGTAAGCTGCTATTCACATTGTCTCTACTGTATTTATCTGGGAAGAGTCCTTTAGCATCCACTGTGTGTTTACGTCTGGTGCTTTTTAGTATTTTTAGTGACGTTATTGCAACTTGCTGGCTGTGACATTTGCTGACACAGCATACCTGAGATGAGCTGAAGACAATAGGAGCTTCACTGCACACTTTGGTACGAATTCTGCATATATATATATATTGCTAACTATGCTAAGATATAATGACAGTGTGTGAGCTATTAATGTCAAGGCTTAGCTAGCATGTGTGTGTGTTTCTACCTGGATAAGTGAGCTAATGTTCACCTACTTAAGATATATGGGAACAGAGGGAACAGAAAGTAGACATCCGGGAAGAGAAGAGATTTGTAGACTCAGCTGTTTCTTACTTTAGTATTTCCTGTTTTACGTCTCAGTTTCACACAGAGCTGGGAGAAGTACTCAGATCTTGAGTAAAAGTAGAAGTACTCAGATCTTGAGTAAAAGTAGAAGTACTCAGATCTTGTACTTGAGTAAAAGTAGAAGTACCAGAGTGTAGGAATACTCTGTTACAGTAAAAGACCTGCATTCAAAATGTTACTCAAGTAAAAGTAGAAAAGTATTATCATCAAAATATAGTTAAAGTAGCGACAGTAAAAGTAGTCATTGTGCAGATTGGTCCATTTCAGAATAATAAATATGATATGTTTTATAATGATTGATCATTAAAGTGTTCTCAAAGCTGGTAAAGGTGCAGCTAGTTTGAATGACTTTGTATACTGCAGGGTAGCTTGTGAATTTACTCCAGGTGGAACTAAAGTCTGATTTAACACTTGATTATATTTCACATCATTCATCCACATCTGTAAAGTAACTAAAGCTATTACATACATGTAGTGGAGTCAAAGCACAAAGTAGCATTAAATGGAAATACTCAAGTACCTCAAAACTGTATTTAAGTACAGACAGTACAGTACTTGAGTAGATAGATAGTAGATACTTGGTTACTCAGTACAATTCCTCCACTAGCACAACAGTATTATAGTATGTAAAGTAGAGCCAGTGTTTGAACAAACCCTGTGTATCTCCCAGCTCTGTGTGTGTGTCACGTGATGTTGTGTGTGTGTGTCACGTGATGTTATCTGTAGCATGTTGGCAGGAAGAGCTATTTGTCCTGTCAGCGAATTACTCAGCTGCTACATGCTTCCTCTGCTGCAGATAACACACTGTGGTTTCTAACATGGACATATCACTAAAGTAGAAGTTTTTTGTTGTATAAAGCTTTATTTGTGTAGCACTTTTCACTTTTCATAAAATAAACCTTTAACAATCAGTATCAGAAATGCTTTATTCGTCCCGTAACTGGGAAATGTACATCAGGGCTATTCAATTAGTTTGGAATGGGGGCCGGTTGATGAAAATGATCCAAAGCAAGGGGCCGGGAAAAAGATGGCTTGAAATATGAGCAATCATATTTAAGAGCTTCAGATACAGTAAATACTACAACAGCATCGTGGAGTGCATATATTGTGTTTAATTCAATCAAACAACATAGCCCCAAGGCCTTTATAGATCTAAATGGCAAGTTCAGAACTCAGTAGGCCTACATGTTTCATTTGATTTCATTTAGGAGAAATGATCTAATCATTCACGCAGAGATGCAATCAATGACAGGAGTTGTCACTACAGTATAGTAGGTGGGTTCGAAACCCGAGCCCGTCGAAGTTTGCAGGCATTGTCTACCCCTCTATCTCTCAATGTAACACCCTCTCTGGAATAAAGGCACTATGGCACAAAAAAAAAAAAAAAAAAAAATCTTAAAAAAAAAAAATTGATTACTTTTTAACATTATACTCAAAGGGCCAGTAAATATCACCCCGGGGCCGGATTTGGCCCGCGGGCCGCCAATTGAATAGCCTTGATGTACATTATCACAACAGCAGATAAAGTGAGGAGAATGGACTTGGATATTAAAAAATAACGAATGACTAAGAATGCATATGTTATTATTAGTAACTCAATAAGTTAGAAAACAAATAACAGATATGTACAGCATGGTTAACAAGTAGCAATGTAATTGTTGTTTTTAATGTGTAATAATAAAATTGCAGATTCAGAATCAAGTTTATTGCCAGGTACGTTTACACACACTGGTGTCTGGTGGAGCAAACATAAACAATCTAAGAAAATAAGTTAAAAAATGTAAAGATAATAAAAATAAGTATTTAAAAAAATAAAAAAATAATTAAAAAGACAGGTATTTACAGCAAATAGAAATAAAAATATACAAAGAACCTTAAAAGCTAAAAAATAAATAAAAATAACCTATTTTATACTAAATATATTTTTATTTTTATAGGAAGAATGCTTACAAATAATAACCATACAGTAAATACCGTACAGTAAAGCCTCTATGCTGACATGTTGTTCACCTGATCAACATCTCAAGACTATTAACATTTTAAATAGTGTAAAATGTAAACTTCATTTCAAGATGAAAATACAACAGTAATTAACCAAATACCTCAATGTCATTTTGACACAATATTGTATAATTTGGTGCGTTTACTAAATACTTTCACAATGACATGATACATATTTATCAGTAATGTGGATTTAATGACAAAGGCATATCAAACATCAGCTTTAACAGTCTAGTAAGTTCAGGGAATGATGATGACGTCACTGTAATGCTGCCTTAAAACCAGGAAAAGACAATATCTAGTATCATAATATCAAATCTTTATATTATACATGAACAATAAGTAAGAACATGACAAGCATCAGGGGGCAGTGGCTCTTTGACTCACTGAGCTTCAGTTTAAGGTTGAGGAAGAGGAAGAGGGGGGGTCCTGGAGTCTGGATCAGAACCATTTGGTCTCTTAAAGCTCCTTTGTGTGAACCTAAAGAACTCTGAAACCAGTTAGTGTGTTTCCTGTCGAGATCACTGCAGCGCCACTAGAGGTCCTCCTATCTAATGTGTAAAATAAACCATCTTCACACCTGATTTAAAGGAAACATCTGAATCACTCTGCTTCAGAATATAGTGTTAAAGAAACTTCAACAATTACAATATCTTTATTTTACATAGCGTGAATTATATACCCAGGCAAAGTGATTACTAGCTAGAATGCAACGGCAGTAAGGTCAGCTTTGTTGTGGCAATTTTAGAAAATGCTCAAAAACGATGCCTGCTTTTCAACAGTCTGAGTGATTTTCCTGTTGTATTGTTGGGTGTGGTTTATCTTGAGAACCCCTCACCCAAACACTGAACACTGTGATGCCTCGGGTCCTGAGCAGGGTGTCACAATTTCAAATCAAAACTTAAAATCAAGTGATATTAGGTTTTGATTTAGTTCTTCCAAAAACAGATCTCCCAGTGGTTTACTGCTCAAAGACACAGAGCATCAGGGGGCTAGGGGTGGGCAAAATGACCTGACATTTGACAGTTTCTTTTGCACCGATAGTACTACATATATAGGTATAACAAAAGCAAACGGGATTTTCATCTTTCGGCTTTACGTGTGACTCTTTTGGCGATATAAGTGGAACATAATTGGCAGTCCAAAATGCTTTTTAAAAAAAAATGTCATCCCTGAAATAGAGGTGCCGCGCCATTTGTGGTCTGACATACAGCAAGTCGAAGTGGGGATTACAAAACACTACATATACATCTTTGAAGTATTTTTGTATTTGTATAACTTTGATGCAGTGTGAACATAACAGTTGTAAGTGAAATGATAAAGAAAGAATAATAAAATATGTCTAGGCTTCATTGGGTAAGATGCTACTGTATGTAGATGAATACAAACGAAATATAATTGTATGCAGTTTTGAAGATGTATACTGTCTTATGGGCTACGCTAAGCAATGTTTTCAGTTTTTATACTACAGTCAGGTCAACGTACGTAGTCTATCTGAGAAGAAATAGGATGACTGTCTTTAATGCATGGAGTTAAATGCACAGAAAATTCAAAATAAACAATAAAAAAAACACCACAAATATACAACGGCTTCACACAGCAAGTAGAAAATAATTCCTTCACTGTGATTGCACCGTGCACAACAACATTACAAAAAAGAACCCTGACAGTGCACAAAACTGGACTTCATGCTCGTGCACTTACCGACTGTTCTACATAAATAATGCATGTTTTACGGTTGCTGTGTGCCAGTTACTGATTATTTTTTTACAACATGCTTCCTCCCAGTCAGGTGATGAGCGTTGGGAGGCTGTAGCTGAACGTCTGAGGCATCATGGAGGAAGACTGCAGGCCTCTGCTGAGCTCCGAGCAGCAGACAGCAGAGAGCTATTCCCAGAGAGGCTCCACGGACTCCCTGGACTACAGGGCTAAAAGGTAGAAACACGACACCGATCAATATCACAATATCACCAGCACTGCGCCTGCGTGACAGAATAATGCAGACACACACTGAGGGTCATGTTCAATACGAAAGAGGGGGTGCAGACTGAGAGCTATAATGACAACTTTAATACCAGTCAACAGACACTGGGTTATATTTCATACAGGATTTTTGGGCAAGAATCTGTCACAAAAATGGTCTTTTGAGCTTGTAAAGTGTTTGTCTATCTATCAACAAAAGCATGTCACTGTCCAAATATAATATAATAATAATAATAATAAAATAAGCTTTGTTTGTATAGCACCTTTCATAAAAGAATTGCAGTTAAAATAGCATAGGATAGGCGTATAAAAAAAATAGATTTAGATTGATGGTATGATGATACAATTGTGCATAGTGAAAATAACAGGTGACAGGGAAATGCATCCGAATTGTACAAAAATGTAATATAAGTGTGTGTTGGGGACTACTTTCAGTGGCGGATTAATCCACATTTGGTGCTGTAGTGATGGTGTATGTGGCATTAAATCAAATAGAGGTGTGTGTGTGTGTGTGTGTGTGTGTGTGTGTGTGTGTGTGTGTGTGTGTGTGTGTGTGTGTGTGTGTGTGTGTGTGTGTGTGTGTGTGTGTGTGTGTGTGTGTGTGTGTGTGTGTGTGTGTGTGTGTGTGTGTGTGTGTGTGTGTGTGTGTGTGTGTGTGTGTGTGTGTGTGTGTGTGTGTGTGTGTGTGTGTGTGTGTGTGTGTGTGTGTGTGTGTGTGTGTGTGTGTGTGTGTGTGTGTGTGTGTGTGTGTGTGTGTGTGTGTGTGTGTGTGTGTGTGTGTGTGTGTGTGTGTGTGTGTGTGTGTGTGTGTGTGTGTGTGTGTGACCCCATGACCCTGAGCATGCAGTGTGTGTTAGATGATAACATGTCCTTATAACCTGGAATGCTCATGAGCAAATACTGAGAAGTTGAATGTGTGTGTCCTGCACCACCTGAGTTAATTAGTACTGTGTGTGAGTTTTAATCCAGTTAGCTATTTCACAGTGACCAACTAGCTTTCTAGGACATACCTGAAACTACTAACTACCAGTGTGTGTGGTGTAAACAAATAATGGGAATAATAAAACTATAAACACAGGCTAACTCAGCACTTTGGCTCCTACAGCTGGTTTGAAAGAGTCCTTGGCATGTTTGATTTAGTGGACTATGAAAAACTGAATTCCTTAATTGACATTATTTTCCTCTACTTTTTTAGGCCTTTCTACGTGGAGCCCAGGAACATCGTGGGTGACGTCCCGCAGGAGAGGGTCTCTGCTGAGGCGGCCATCCTCAACAGCAGAGTGCATTATTACAGCCGGCTGACCGCCTCCTCTGACAGACTGCTAGTAAGTCACATCACTGCTAATCACTAGTTTTTAGCTTTTAGCTTTTAGGCGCCACAAGCCTGGAACAAACTGCCTGAAACATTTTTTTAATTTTTTTTAAAATTATTATGTGTTAAATGCCTACGTGAAGCACTTTTAATTGCCTCTGTCTTAAAATGTGCTGTACAAATAAACTAACCTTAACCGTAGTTGTCATGGCCAGGGACCACTTATCATGATCATGGATGTATAGAGAGAATTGGATACAAGCAGGGCCCCTTTCATTCCTCTGAAAGTTGCTCATTGGCCTGACTACCCAGTACAACAAATCTGGGGCCAAAGTGCATCCGCCAAGTGTTTTACTCGAGCCCTGCCCCCAATCGATTTGCGGACATCTTTTTCCCAATGTGGAACAAAGTATGTTTGGGCCCAAATAACGTCACAGACTTTAGCGGGACAAGTGGTATGTCATGACAGGACGGGACTAATCAGTTAGCATGCTCATTTCGGTAGCTATCTCTGCAACTCAATACATTGACATGTATGGCATGATGTCAACATTATAGAGAGGCGAAGTCCCTCTCCATGGGACCTTATTTCTGAAAAAGTATGTATTGAAGTCAATGGGGAGAGAAAGCTTTTCTTTTGATTCTTTTTTAATTGAGCCACGAATTACACATATGATGTTTGTCAATTTAAAAGATAATTTTACAAGTCAAAAAAATACAAATGTGTCTTAAAACTGTGAAGTGGCACTTTTGTTTGTGTGAAACCGCTCAATGAACTACATCTCCCGTCTCGCACCACACACCAAGACGGCCGTCACGTTGGCACATTTCACTTCTTTCTTTCAGAATGAGGCGGAAAGTATTAAAAGAGGTGAAAATCACTCCAAGTCTGGGCATGTTGAGAGCTGTACATACACACAAGGGGAGTTAGTCGGTTCCTAAGAGCCAGCATGCGGGACCGGGATTCTGGGATGTGTAGTCTTTCTAGTTGCGTATTTTTCATAGTCTTATATTTCAACAGTTTTACGACAAACTGTGAATTTTTTTGACTTGGAAATTATTTTTTAATCAGCACTTTTGAAACAGGAAGTGAAATAGAGGGATATGAGGCATGGCTAGAATGGGTGATCTGTTTGGTATTTTGAGCAAAACACTTCATAGACATGTTTTTTTATATATCTGAGACCTATGCTATTGCCTAAAAATAGCATGATAGGTGACCTTTAAAATAACTGCCATGTGTGCCTGTGTTTTCTTTCCCCTTCAGAGTCCTCCAGACCATGTGATCCCACACACAGAGGAGATCTACATCTACAGCCCACTGGGGACAGCTTTCAAGGTGACAGGCAGCGACCACTCCTCTAAAAACCCCAGTTTCATCACCATGTAAGCCCTGTCAGCTGAACAGTCCATCACCCTGAGCTAAACGTGCTCTTCATACTCCGACTGCTTTCATTCTGACCTTGCTTTCATCTCTCCTTTGCAGATTTGCTATATGGAACACAATGATGGGCACATCTATACTCAGCATACCTTGGGGTATAAAGCAGGTGAATCGCTTTACTCCACATACTCCTTAAACATGACGTGCTGCGTATTGACCTTAGTTATTCTGCAGGATGTGCTCTTTGAATTCACCTAAATCTGGATATGTGAAGTACCTTGTTCTTGGCAAGATACTTAGGAGTGCCCCATTAACAAGTTGTGCTTATTTTTGTTGTTATATTTCCACGTTCTGTTTTTAAAAAGTTGTATTAGTTTGCCTTCTGAAGCGGCTGTTAAGATAGATAGGTAGGTAGATAGACAGGTAGACAGGTAGATAGACAGGTAGGTAGGTAGATAGGTAGATAGATAGATAGATAGATAGACAGGTAGGTAGATAGACAGGTAGATAGACGGGTAGGTAGATAGACAGGTAGACAGGTAGATAGGTAGATAGATAGGTAGATAGGTAGGTAGATAGATAGACAGGTAGACAGGTAGACAGGTAGATAGACAGGTAGGTAGATAGACAGGTAGACGGGTAGATAGGTAGGTAGATAGACGGACAGAGGACAGACAGACAGACGGACGGATAGACAGATAGGTAGACAGGTAGACAGGTAGATAGGTAGGTAGGTAGGTAGGTAGATAGACGGACAGAGGACAGACGGACGGATAGACAGATAGGTAGACAGGTAGACAGGTAGACAGGTAGACAGGTAGACAGGTAGACAGGTAGACAGGTAGATAGATAGATAGATAGATAGATAGATTAGTACTTTATTGATCCCAAATTGGGAAATGTTTGCGTTGCAGCAGCATAAAAAGACAAGGCATTGTACATTAGAGAAATAAACAGTCCAAAATATTTCAGAAATAGAAATAAAATAGCATAAAAAAGTTAAAGAATATAAAAAAATATATATACATGTGGAAATACACATTTCCAGTAACAAATATAACGCAGGATATTATTGTGCAAGAATGGATTATTCAATATTAAATAGAATATGAATGTAGAAGCCTTATTGTGTTTGAGTTATCAATCTATCTTTTGGTTGTTCAAATCACTCGTTCTTTTCCCCTGGTTTATTTAATCGTTTTGTTTCATCCCTAACCACTTAGAGTATTTGGGAATCGCAACCCTCTGCCTCTGTAAGAATGCATGTAAATGGGTGACTGCTGACTATATGTAAAAGGGCTTTGAGGGGTCATAAGGACTGGAAAGCTATATAAATTCAGCACATTTACCATTTACTATCTGTTGTATCTTTCAGGCTGGTTTCACTCTGGGGATCATCATCCTCATCCTCACCGGCCTGCTGATGCTCTACTGCTGTTACATCGTCCTCAAATCACCAAAAAATATACGTAAGTTATTCTACTCAAGTCTTTTAATAAATTGTCCATTAGAGTCTAAAATATATCTCTTTATTATTATAATGTTTTTCCTTTGAGACACTTGCATTTCTCTAGAACATGAAATCAGAAAAGCTGTACTGGGAATACACTACAGCCAATGTAAAGTCCTTTTTAAAAACAAATATTTAAATGGTGTAAAGCAGGGGTGTCAAACTCAAATACACAGTGGGCCAAAATTAAAAAATGGGTACTAGTCGAGGGCCGGACTGGTTCAATGTTTATTGCAAAACTTATTGAAATGAACTTATTGCACATATTAAACCTGGAACTAACAAAGCTTAAAGTGGACCTATCATGCTATATTTGAATAATATAGTGTAGGACCATACCTATATAAGGCATATTTATACTTTTTTTTTTTCAAAATACCAAACAGATCATGCATTTTAGCCATGCCTCATTTTGCTCAATTTGAAAATGTTTAGCTCTGTTTTTGCAAGGGCAGATTCAGTGAGAACAGCACCATCTACAGGCCTGGCATATGTACTACAGCGTCTCCAGCGCTTTCGAACGGCCGTGGCTGTCTCCTCCTGATTGGTGGAGTTGGCCCAATAGCCGTAGCGCCAACGTCCTGACGTCAGGAAAGTGTTCAAATCTGGATCAGTTTTTATCAGATCCGTTGCAGCCCCTTTTTTAGAGATTTGGGTATGGAGGAAAATAGAGAGGGTTGTGTTTTCTGACACTTGGTGAGTTCCCTGGAACACCGGGGACACGTATTCATGTATAAAAGACGTACAAAAGTGCATTTTGCATGATAGGTCCCCTTTAAATGATTGCCTATAAAAACAACATTAAACATTAAATAATCAGTTGCATTCATTTCTTATGGCTCTATCTGCAGCTTTTCCAGAGTCATTTCTTATGATTACATTTTTCCACAGGCCAACAACAGCTTCAACAAAACTATTTCCCTCAAAGAACAAACCAAACATGCCCTGTTGTCTCAAGAAACAAAGTGCAGAAGGAAACATCCATGTAAACTCAGTGTGCTGCTCTGTGATGCTAGTTCAAGCCAGATACTTGGCATCTCATCTTGGGTGCAAGTTCATCAATGTTTGGGGTCAGGCTCTGAGCTGAGGAGACCCTCAGGATTGAGTGAAGGTGTGCGTGCAATATACCGGCGGGCCAGATCTAATAGTAATTAGAAATTATCCTGCGGGCCGAAATTAAATCCACCAAGGGCCTGATTTGGCCCCCGGGCCTTGAGTTTGACACATGTGGTGTAAAGGGTCCCCTGGTCGGATCGAAACCAGGTCCTCCGCCTCCCCCTCCTCCGCAGGGTCTTAGCCCCAGTGTATAGTCCGCCAACTCTTCCAAGTAAAGTCAATATTGTCTCCAAGCACCAGCACGTTGTTGTTGTAGTGTTTGTTATTGGATTATTGTACGTATTTACTCCATAGCTTATGTTCTATCGAGGAGAAGCTCTGTGGCTTTCTCACATTCAGCGTGAATTTTTTTTGGGGTGAAATGAGTGTGTTGGACAAAGTCAGAGAGGTGTGTGTCTTCTTATGCCAAAAGTGTGAGAGTTAGACATTGTGAGAAGTTTCAGCTGATTATTTGTAGTGTTTGTAGGAAAGGTGTATGCCTCCATTTTGTCCCCAACACCCTTTACAAAAACCCTTGTGTGTATCCTTTATAAAAGTGTTGACTCTTATCTGGTAGAGTGTGTACTCAGCATCAGAGATAGCTAAAGTACACACATTCTTTACTCAAGTAGAAGTACAGATACTCGTGTTTAAAAATACTCTGGTAAAAGTAGAAGTATTGACTTTACTTTGACTTGAGTAAAGAAGTTTAGAGGGCTTTGAAATGTACTTCAGTAAAAAGTACCCATAACTAGCAGCTGTTTTAAAGAGTACCTGACCCCCCTTTATATTAATAGAACAATAATGTCATTGTTAGCTAATGAATGTTTCCATGCTGAACAACGGCAACATGACAACGTTTTCATTGGTCCCTCTTCTTTAGAGAAGACCAGGAAATGATGGATACACGGATCGTGTTCAAATCAATAGGCACGCAATGACTCTAAATAATAATGATCACGCCACCAAACACACATTCAAACTAAAGGAACCAGCCTGTTTGGGAAATGTAAGAAGTAGAAAGTACAGGTATTTGTGTTCAACATGTAAGAAGTAGAAAGTACAGGTATTTGGGTTCAACATGTAAGAAGTAGAAAGTACAGGTATTTGGGTTCAACATGTAAGAAGTAGAAAGGACAGGCATTTGAGTTCAACATGTAAGAAGTAGAAAGTACAGGTATTTGTGTTCAACATGTAAGAAGTAGAAAGTACAGGTATTTGGGTTCAACATGTAAGAAGTAGAAAGTACAGGTATTTGGGTTCAACATGTAAGAAGTAGAAAGTACAGGTATTTGTGTTCAAAGTGTAAGAAGTAGAAAGTACAGGTATTTGTGTTAGAAATGTAAGAAGTAGAAAGTACAGGTATTTGTGTTCAAAATGTAAGAAGTAGAAAGTACAGGTATTTGTGTTCAAAATGTAAGAAGTAGAAAGTACAGGTATTTGTGTTCAAAATGTAAGAAGTAGAAAGTACAGGTATTTGTGTTCAAAATGTAAGTAGTAGAAAGTACAGGTATTTGTGTTAGAAATGTGAGAAGTAGAAAGTACAGGTATTTGTGTTAGAAATGTAAGAAGTAGAAAGTACAGGTATTTGTGTTCAACATGTAAGAAGTAGAAAGTACAGGTATTTGTGTTCAAAATGTAAGAAGTAGAAAGTACAGGTATTTGGGTTCAAAATGTAAGAAGTAGAAAGTACAGGTATTTGGGTTCAAAATGTAGCATGTTCTTGCCAGCCTGTCACACCTCACAGCAGCAGCATGCACACCGACATTGACCGAGTCATACACACACACACACACACACACACACACACACACCAGATCACACTTGTTATGAGTGCACTCATAACAAGTGTGATCTGGAGTAACATTCATAAAGCAATGTTTTCTGTACTAAATGTCCGTGTTCTCAGCAGAGAGGCTTGACGATATCATAGAACACTTATTGATGCACTTGTTATGGCAATGTGTGTGTCCATATGGTATTTAGATTACTGGTATTTGTGAGAGTGATTGTTCGACAGATGCAGTTTAGTTAGAGGTTTATTGAAGTAACTGTACAAAACATATTTCCAATTATCATTTTGTAAGAGCTGTGTGCTCTCTCTACCTTTCCGGTCACATGTGACACCGTTTAAAAACCCGTGTGTAGCTAATCACCGCCACCAAGTGTCCAAAAATAATATTGCATGATTAGCCAACATTGAACATAAATGGCTCCTACAGTAATCAACTAATTGCTTACTTATAGTGTCAGTTTGGTCTTGTAAAAGCTTTAACTACTGAATCCTTTCATCCACAAGGACGCAGCAAGAGGTTAACAAATTATTCAATTGTCTTTGATTCCTTTTAAGATGTAAGTAGGGGGTACAATATTACCTCTCTCCGGCAGAAACTGAAACTGTCTTAACATTTCGTAACCTTCGTTGTGAATCAGCATCTATATAGCAACAAATAATAAGGAATAATAATTAAGAAAAATAATATTTAGTGGCTTTTAAAAATGTTTTTCTAACAGTTTCTGTACATTAGCAAGTGAGTTTATAGCAAATGCACACCTGCACAGTTATCAATAATAGACTAATCACATCTTCAAGGTGTGTTTACCAATATTTCAAATGTATTTTATTTTGTGCAGTTTACCAGCAAGTGTTTGCATGGAACTATTTGTACACACCTGGACTCAAAAAGCATTGCACATGGTCAGGTAGTGCAGCAGGTTAAAGCAGACTTCCTGTTGGAGGGTTTAATAACTTATTCTCTCCACTTCTTGGTTTGGAACGGCACTTAATATGGCGGACCCTCCACGCGAATTGGAGGTGGAGGGAGAGGATGTAGGGGTTGGTTTGGAATTGGGCCCAAAAGGCTACATGTAAAGCAGGGGTGTCAAACTCAATTTCATCGCGGGCCACATTAGCATTATGGTTGCACTCAAAGGGCCGGTTGTAACTATATAAATATACATATATAAATATATAATATATATATATATATATAAAATAATGTATTATATTATATTATTGCCTCTGAATTGGATTATTATCGGATAGGATAATAACTTGCGTAATTAACTACCAACTACGTCTGAAAGCAGAAGTCCAGTGCAAATAATTGCAAGTCTCTTCAGTGCGCATGTCACAAAACGAGATGCATTGTGGGACATGTAGTTTATGGGCAACGTACTTCTGTAAAGCGGCATCTAACCGTATAATAAACGTATTATATTCTTTGCAAGCTCTTGCAGGCCACATAAAATGAATTTGCGGGCCAGATTTGGCCCCCGGGCCTTGAGTTTGACACCCCTGATGTCAAGCTAAATACTGGGACTCATGAAAAATGCATGAGCGTGAAGAACGCTAAAATATACTGTTTTAACAAAGATCTAGTCAAAGAGAATACCTCTCTTTGTGTTGTTTGCAGCCTACATAGACACGTCGGACTGGGAGTTCCCGGACGTCTGTAGATATTACTTTGGAAAGTTTGGCCAGTGGTCCAGTTTGGTTTTCTCCATGGTGTCCCTCATAGGAGCCATGGTGGTCTACTGGGTCCTCATGTCCAATTTCCTCTACAACAGCGGACAGTTCATCTACAGTAAGTCACAACACTCCTATTATACCAGAAAAAAGGGTATTTCATAATTCTGTTTTACTGTTACTTTGCTTATTCTATCAGTACCTGGCTGCGTGTGTCTTCAAATGAGCTGACATTTTGAAACATGGCTGCTGTGTGACGGCCTCACCTTGTGTTCAACAATGAGTCAATTAGCGTGTCATTTAGGGCTTTATGAATTCAGAGTTTAAGTAGGTTGTGAGGGGGGGTTTTATGTAAGACAAGACAACAGAACAAAGTAGCCTACGAGGGGAAGATATTTAGTCTCAAAACTCTTAAATTAAAGGTAGGGTAGGTAAGTTTGAGAAACCGGCTCGAGATACACTTTTTGTTATATTCCATGGAATGCTCTTAACATCCCGATAGCAATGAATATCTTAAGTGCTTTGACAAGAAATCCATAAAAAAATATCATCTGTGGAAGCCGTGGTACTGTAAAAAGCACGACCAATCATCTGAGCCGGCCCGGCTAAAATAACTGGATGGCCTACCTGCCTGTCAGCCTTCCATCTGTGCACAAACTTATCTCGTGCCCTCATTGGTCATGTGCGCGTTCGTGTGTGTTGGAGGAGGGGCTCTGTAAGGAAGTGGCAGATTTCTTCCGGCTGTGTATTTTCAAAATCTAGCGCACTCGAGCTGGTTTCTCCAAAATTACCTACCCCACCTTTAAAGGCTGGGCCGATAATCAGGCAGTATGTCTAACTATAATCTGTATTTTAAAATGTATTGTAACTTTGTAATCCTGCTAGTTATCCTCATTTAAAAATTGTTACTAGTAATCTTATTTCATCTTTTGTTTTTTATGTAACTGTAAAGGAATAAAGTTACTTTTTTTCTTTCTTTGTGTTACTCCCCTGGCCTGATTATCAGTGTTCGTCCCAATCAAATGTGCAAAAAGAGTCTTTGTTTTGATCAGTTTCTTCTCCTGTCTGCAGACTACTCTCACAATGTCAACATGTCCGATTCAGAGTTTGGGACCAACGGCTCGGATAGAGGTAAGTCACTAACGACACTCGACTAATTACTTTATGGTAGATTATCGTTTCAGAAGAAGTTAAATTGAGAGAATTTAGTCCTAAATGCATGACTTTCGACAAAGGATATCAAGTATTGTCTTCAAAACTTTAAAGGTCCCATGTCATGCTTTTCCGGTTATTACCCGTCCCCTTGTGTGTTATGAAGGTTTTTCTGCATGTAAACGGTCTGCAGAGTCACAAACCCTCAAAGTTACACCCTGTAGTGAGTAAAACTCTAACACAGAAAATACCTGTCTATGCTGCCCCAGAACGCCTCGTTGGACATTTCTCTTTTTCCATTTTTTACTTCCTGGGTCATAGTGACGTAAGGGGCTAAGTGACGTAACGGCTACGCAGATTGGTCCGCGGACTTCCTCACACACACACACACACACACACACACACTCACTCACTCACTCACTCACTCACTCACTCACTCACTCACTCACTCACTCACGCAGCCTTATCTTTTCTCCGCCGCAGCTCCGCGGATTTCTCAGCCTGAACTCAGCCTGAGCACACAAACTCACAGCCAGGCTACGAGTGTGTGTGTGTGTGTGTGTGTGTGTGTGTGTATGTGTGCTCAGGCTGAGTTCAGGCTGAGTTTCGCGTTGTCTCGCTGTCTCGCAGACCCCACGCAGCAACCAGGAAACGACACCAGTAACCCAGCTCACACTGTCCGCTCCAGCAGCGAGCCGCGCAACGTCCCGCCAACACGGCACCCAGACCCCACGCAGCATTCTCATCTGTTTGTCATTACTGGTGTCATTTCCTGGCTGCTAACAAACGCCATTGTAACACATAATCACTGATGTTCCGCTGTAACGGTGGTGGACTCATCAGAACAGAGTGGGCTCACAGGGAGGGGGGGGCAGGAGCTCCAACAAGGCGTTTAGGACAGAGAGTGAATACACATACTATACAGAGATGCTGTATGAGAAACCAATGTGAGTTTGGAACATTGAACAATGTAAATCTGTTCTAGTAGACCTCAACAATGGAATTATGATCAGTAGAAATGGCCATGACATGGGACCTTTAAGTAGATTTTAGAGACTTCTTACAGTTTTGGTCTGCTTTGACTTTAACATTGAATTCTAAGCATATAAGGATGCATCAGAAAACTAATAAATTAAGATATCTCCAATTGTCTCAAACTTCCTTTCTAGTTTTTTTATCTTAACCATCATGTCGTCTCCTTTTTTACCTGTTCATTTTCCGTGGAAACCAGCACCAGAAATGCCATATCTGTTAATGCTTTGTTAGTAAAGACATCACTTCAATCTTTTCACTTCACTAAGAACATTTCGAAATGTGCATTCTTCTACATAAAACATGTGTGTGTTCGTTGTCGACTCTCAAGTAGAAAAACACGCTAAAGTTAATAACCCGACTTTCCAAATAGTAATGCTCTGTTGATGTTCTTCCCACCAGTCATCTGTCCGTTCCCCAACACTAACCATGAGGGGAACCACACCGTCAGCACCCTCTTCCTCAGCGCCAGTGGAAACGATACTTCAGCCTCTACCTTTGAACACTGGTGGAGCAAGACGAACACCATCCCGCTCTACCTCATCATCCTGCTGCTGCCGCTGCTCTGCTTCCGCTCGGCGTCCTTCTTCGCCAGGTTCACCTTCCTGGGTAAGAGAGGCAACGTTATTATCAATCCTCTGTGTGTGAGATGCAGACAGGGAGGTGCTGTTTCTCACAATCAGACAATGTATATACAGTACATGCATACACACCTGTACACCCACTTATATATATAAACACATACATAATCAAACATAGACACATACATTCAAATACACACATTAAGAGGCGTAAATACAAAAATAACAGTCTCTTCTAAATGGACGTGTGTACTGTTTTCTATGTTATATCAATTTTCTGTGAGTGTTTCAAGAGATGTTAACGGTCTACTGTGAAGCGCTTCAGACTGCAATTCTTGTATAAAAGGAGCTATACACATAAAGCTTATTATTATATGACTTTTGGATTACATCAATTATCAAAACCAATGCAAATAAATAGTATGTAGTGATACTGAACAGTGTAACCCTTTACAAAAGGAGACACCAAGTGATATAAGATAATAATCCTTGTACGGAAATTCAGGTGTCAAGGCAGCAACAGAATAAGAAGAAGCACAGATATTACACGTGTCCTCTGCTTTTATTTATAGGAAAAGGTGCATTTCATTAAGCATACTCTGGGCAGTAGGACAATGAGCACATACTACAGTTTAAAAAAGCCGAAATAAAATCTGTAATGTAATGTTTTTCTTTCCATTTTCTCCAGGAACGATTTCAGTGGTGTACCTGATTTCGCTGGTCACCATTAAAGCCGTCCGCCTCGGTTTCCACCTGCAGTTCCACTGGTTCGACTACACCCAGTTCTACCTGCCAGGTAAATATCCGTCTGTCTGTGGTTCACGTCCAGGAGTGTAAACCGTTCCATAGATGTTTTACTATATTGTATAAAATGTATACCATGATATACAATATAGTACATTTCTTTATCTCTTGGTGTAATTGGTTGTAAGTGTTTTTGCCACCTCTTCCAAACAGACAGCTCCACTATGAGTCTCCCTGATGCCATGTATTCTGATATAATGAGTTTTATTTGTTGTCCCTTGATAGGATATTAAACCTAGCTGTTTCCTTGAACCTCAAGTCTTCTAAATCTGGCTTTTCATTAGTCATAAAGTTACAAAAAAGACCCACATTGAGGCATTTTTTTATCATTCTACTGTAGTTTCTTTCAGTCCTGTGTTTATTGACTTCTGTGTTTTTATCCATCACGTAGAGTAACAACCGTTCTCAGCAATGATTGGGTTAGCTATAACTAGATGAACCCTTTTCACAATGAAAAATACATTTGCAAAATATATTATAACAGCTAATGTTAGAGTGTCTTTTAAATATCATAAGCATATCTCTTACCTGTGTGTGAGACCTGAGTTCCTACTGTAGTCATGTCTTACTTAGTTTATGTATTACCTGGGAAGGGGCGGGGAAGAATTTGTTATTGGTTTGTGTGAAAAGGGCTATGTCTATAAAGTTGATTTGTATTTGATAAAAAGATACTCTTTCCCACTGACCATGTACATGTGACTTCCTCTAGCAACCTTTAAACACATGTGAAAGTCAGATAGACACAGCATTACATTAGAAAACCAGTCATGCTCCCGATCTGATGAACCCTTCTTATCTAGACTCTCGATCTCCCTGCTTCCTTGTTTCTTTACAGCGACAAATGTTTAACTTTTTCTCGGTTCTTTTAGAGTTCAGGACGCTTTTCCCTCAGTTCACGGGCGTCCTCACGCTGGCCTTCTTCATTCACAACTGCATCATCACGTTGATGAAGAGCAACAAGCACCAGGAGAACAATGTGAGCATTACACTGTCATCTCTGCTGACTTCAGGAAACACAGCTCAGTCTCACACTTTGGGTCCTGAGTCATTGTGTGAGACTTTGTCAGTGCCTTAATGTCCCATTCAGAAACAGGAAGTCAGTCCCACAGTGGTATATGTAGCTCAGTGGGTGTTTCTCAATGTCCAGGAAGGCTGCTCCAGAGCCACTTTTTCAAGGATGCTACGTCATCGAGTCCCGCCGAAGGACTGTTCCAATGTCCAGGATCCTTGGAATTCTACCGAGGCCGGTGTCCTTCGTTGCGGGAAATTTCGAGGCTGCACATGTGTAGACTCCGTGGTCTTAAAATCCCCACAATGCTTTGCGCACGGACCAATTTCCCAAATCTTTGGTGGAAATCACGCTCCATTTAAGGCAGGGCCTCGCATATGACGCACACCTGTTAGCTTGTTCCACCATTCTTCGTTTTCTGAGGCTAGGAAGGACCTGACTCGGAGGGACTTGACTCGGAGGGACTTGTCTTACCAAGGAAGCGTCATTGAGAAATACCCAGGGTGTTTCTCAGTGTCGAGTACGCTTGCTTGGTAGCACATGTCTTCCGAGTCACTTGCTTCAGAAGCGAGGCAAGAATACTTCCTGGCATTTGGAAAACGAAGAGTGGAACAGGCGAGCAAGTGTGCAGGTGTGCGTCATATGAGAAGCCCCGCCTTACATTTTCCGCCACAGATTTTGTGAAATTGGTCCGTGCGCAAAGCATTGTGGGGATTTTAAGACCGCGGAGTCTACACATGTGCAGCCTAGAAATTTCTCCAAACGAAGTACGCCGGGCTCGGTAGAATTCCAAGTATCCTGGACATTGGAACAGTACTTCGGCGGGACTCGATGACGTAGTATGCTTGAAATAGTGGCTCTGGAGCCTAACACCCCCCAGTGTGTAAAGCAGTGGTGTCCAAACTACGGCCTGGGGGCCATTTTGAATCGGCCCTCAGCAAATTCAAAAAGTATAATGGAATACGGCCCACAAATGAAACTTGTGCTTGTCTTATATTGTACTTCTTAAATATATATGTAAAAATATATCACACTGTATTCATGTGTTAATAAAACCACTTTTCAAATAAATCCAGTCAATTAAAGTTGGAAACATTTTCTAACAAATCTTAGTTGATAAGAAAAAATCCCAATAACTTATTTACATAACCAGCTAGACGTATACACTTCCTGTTTCCTCTTATTATAATCAATCTGAGGCTTCTGTTTTAAGGGATGAGCTGCCAACACTCACAAGCATCATGTACCTACAGTTGATTGATTTTGCTAACTTATAACTGAACTTATGAGGCGATATACCTCCAGTGAGCGGCCCAGCCCTTAGTATGTTTTTCTGTGTGTGGCCCTCGGAGAAAACAGTTTGGACACCCCTGATGTAAAGAGTTACTGAGTCTGATGTGATTTGTGTTTTCTGTTTCAGGTGCGGGACCTGTCCGTGGCCTATCTTCTAGTCGGGATCACCTACCTGTATGTGGGCGTGCTGATCTTCGCTGCTTTCCCCTCACCTCCTCTCTCCAAAGACTGCATCGAACCAGTGAGATTTTTACACTGACTTATATATAGTTTTCCTTTTTATATTTGTTTATTCATTGAATTGAACAGGGACAGTGCACATGAATCAACATGTCTGTAAATGTGCCAGTTGGCCAAGAGGCTATTTTTCATCTGTAGTCCCTAGACAGATGTTGTAAATCAACCTAAAGACAAATTTCATTTTAAACAAGTAAATAGAATCAAATAAAAACATGCAACATACATTACTGGAAATGTTAATAAAACAAATCAAATAAAGCTAAACAAAAAAGAACATGTTAAAACCCAGGCAGTGGGTTGTAAGGAGCAGAAGATTGCGTCAGTGTTTCAGAGCTGCCTCCTCACTAACCAGGTTTTAAATTGGGATTTGAATCAACTGAATGTAGTCTGGTCTCTGATTGTGGATGTGATTGAGTTCCATTGCTGTGCAGCTTTAGGTCCCATGTCATGCTTTTCCGGTTATTACCCGTCCCCTTGTGTTATGAAGGTTTTTCTGCATGTAAACGGTCTGCAGAGTCACAAACCCTCAAAGTACACCCTGTAGCGAGTAAAACTCTAACACAGGAAAGACCTGTCTATGCTGCCCCAGAACGCCTCGTTGGAGATTTCTCTTTTTCCATTGTTTACTTCTTGGGTATAGTGACGTATTTCGGGTATAGTGACGTAACGTCCGCGGAGCCGTTACGTTTGGACCAATCCGCGGACTTCCTCACACACACACACTCGGCGGGACGTTGCGAGGCTCGCTGCTGCGAGGAGCGGGACACTGTGAGCTGGCTCACTGGTGTGGGGTCGGCGAGACAGCGAGACACCGCGGAACTCAGCCTGGGCACACACACAAACTCCCAGCCAGGCTGCGGGTGTGTGTGTGTTTCGGGCTGGGTTTCGCTGTGTCTCGCTGTCTCGCAGACGGCCACTGGGCTCACAGGGGGGGGGGGGGGGGGGCAGGAGCTCCAACAAGCCGTTTAGGACAGAGAGTGAATACACATACTATACAGAGATGCTGTATGAGAAACCAATGTGAGTTTGGAAAATTGCACAATATACATTTATTTTAGTAGACCTCAACAATGGAATTATGATCAGTAGAAATGGCCATGACATGGGACCTTTAACAGAAAATGAAGACTGACAGAAATAACTTTTCCTGAGTGGAATAATGCATTTTATGTTACGTGGTTTGTCTTTGCTGTTTTTGGACGCAGGAGATATTCATCGGAGAGTTAGAGCCAATTGTTGAACTCCACCTAGTTAAAACAAGTGCCCTCATAAGACCCCCCCCTCAAACATTTCTGTATGAGGCAGCAGATTTTGGGATAGGGAAACAACAGTAAGAGATATTTCTTTAAAGTCACATTGTGGTTACTGTGACTGCAGCTTTGTCTCTTGTCTCCTGCAGAACTTCCTGGATAACTTCCCCACCAGCGATGTGATGGTGTTTGTGGCGCGGAGCTTCCTGCTGTTCCAGATGATCACAGTCTACCCCCTGCTGGGCTACCTGGTGCGGGTCCAGGTGATGGGCCAGATCTTTGGAAACCATTACCCCAGGTACCACTGAAGGACATCACATTACACCTCTCGTTATTTCTGTGGAAGCTCAGCAGACTGATGACGATAAGCACATTATCAGAGCACATTAAAACAACTGTGAACATTCATAAACACACCTCCGCCCCTCAAAGACCACTACTATTTAGAAATATTAATGGCTATTTTACCTGCATCCTTTGGTTACTATAACCCTTTATGAACACACAGTTAGAAATTCACTACATGAATACAGTTTTGTACATTTAACATCTTTAGACTGTAAGTGTAAATATGCACATTGACATTTAATTGTATCTCATTGCACTGTCATCGCTACTACCTCTGCTTTTACCACCATTTATTTATTTGTGTCTATTTTTTGACTGCAGTGAGAGTTGCCAAAGAAATGTCGTTGTACTTTGTATGATGACAATACAGATATATTCTATTCTAATAAGCTTTTAAAAGTTTCCTAAACATTACGTACCTGAACATTCTGTCTTAATGGCCAAACTGTTACTTAAGTATATTATATTATTTTCATTCTGGGTCCCAATGCATGACTGAATCCTCCGAGTCCATCACAGATCCTTTACGGTCCCACAGCAGGGAAATGTTCAGTGTTAAGATAAAATAAAATCAATTAAAGGTGGGGTAGGTAATTTATTTCAGAAACACTTTTTGTTATATTCCATGGAATGCTCTTAACATCCCGATAGCAATGAATATATATATATAATATGTCATCTGTGGAAGCCGTAGTACTGTAAAAAGCACGACCAATCATCTGAGCCGGCCAGGCTAAAATAACTGGATGGCCTACCTGCCTGTCAGCCTTCCATCTGTGCACAAACTTATCTCGTGCCCTCATTGGTCATGTGCGCGTTTGTGTGTGTTGGAGGAGGGGCTCTGTAAGGAAGTGGCAGATTTTTTCCGTTTGTGTATTTTCAAATTCTAGCGCACTCGAGCTGGTTTCTCCAAAATTACCTACCCCACCTTTAAAGGGGACCTATCATGCAAAATGCACTTTTGTACATCTTTTCTACATGAATATGTGTCCCCGGTGTTCCAGGGAACTCACCAAGTGTCAGAAAACACAACCCTCTCTATTTTCCTCCATACCCAAATCTCTAAAAAAGGGGCTGCAACGGATCTGATAAAAACTGATCCAGATTTGAACACTGTCCTGACGTCAGGACGGTGGCACTACGGCTATTGGGCCAACTCCACCAATCAGGAGGAGACAGTCACGGCCATTGCCGTTCGAAAGCGCTGGAGACGCTTTAGTACATATGCCAGGCCTGTAGATGGTGCTGTTCTCACTGAATCAGCCCTTGCACAAACAGGGGTAAAAAAGTCCAAATTGAGCAAAATGAGGCATGGCTAAAATGCATGATCTGTTTGGTATTTTGAAAGAAAAAAAAAGTATAAATATGCCTTATATAGGTATGGTCCTACACTATATTATTATAATATAGCATGATAGGTCCACTTTAAGGAAACAGAGACACTCAAAAATCAACAAAAAAGTCTTAAAAAGGTGAAATTAGACTTCCATAACCTGCTGAGTGTTGGACCTCTGAATGAGGGTTGAAATTATAATGCAACACATCTAATGTTTCTTCATCTTCCTGCAGCTTCTTCCACGTTCTGGCGCTGAACATTTTAATAGTTGGAGCCGGCGTCCTGATGGCCAGGTTTTATACCAATATTGGATCCATCATCAGGTATGTTTGAACCATCCCTATTCATACTCACTGCACAACAATTACTAATAAATCAAATGTAATAAGTCAATTGTTTTGATGTTCTAAATATTTATAATTGCAAAACTGTGTCTACAAAAGACATAAGATAACATAACATGGACAGAACTATGTGTAAAAGTCCTAATTACATTTCAATGTGGTGTGAAAACAGTATTAAGTTCATCATAAACCTGATGATGACTCCTGGAATTGTCTAACTGAACAGATGTGACCGTTATATTGTGTGTAGATAGATGTAGCCAAATGTATAAAACCTAGCTTAACCTTGAAGAAGTCCAGCATTTCACTCTCACTTTTATGACCTAGTATGAGCCAAGTTGTACAAATACTGGATCCTTATTACCCACAATGCGACTACTAAGTTCTCCTAGAGCCACAACATGTTTTTTATAAGGTACATTATCTGTCATCACCATTACAGATACCGGTAAGGTCCATAAATGTCACTTCAAAAGACCGTATATTCTGGCTGCCAACGTTTTGGAAGATTCTCCCACTTAAATCTTCAGTTTCTACAAAATCTTTTCATCCTCTCCTGTCCAACACAAAGAGTCAGTGTGTCATCGTAGGGGAGCACAAGATCTTCTGTAATCAAGTCGTAAAACACTACTTAGGAAACACACTTTAAATGAAACGCCATGTCCACGTACAGCATTTGGAGCTCATATGAGTCTGTTTCTCCGTTATGATTTCTTCAGCTTAGGGATTAATGGTGGCCGCCGCAAGTTGTCTTGTATGTTTCATTTACCATCTCTCTCTTTCTCGTACGTTTCATGTCATCTCTGCCGTCAATCAAAAGGCAATAATGCCCACAAAAATAATAAGATAAATAAATGTTTTTGCAAAATGTACCCATCAATTACTCTCTGAGTTGTGGGTGGTATTAATCCTTAATTTATTGTACTAGCCGTTATTTATTGCGTTTTTTCTGCAATGAGTACGTTTACTCTTAAGAACATTTTCCTAATTGTACTTAAAGGTCCCATGTCATGCTTTTCCGGTTATTACCCGTCCCCTTGTGTGTTATGTAGCTTTTTATACATGTAAACGGTCTGCAGAGTCACAAACCCTCAAAGTACACCCTGTAGCGAGTAAAACTCTAACACAGAAAAGACCTGTCTGTGCTGCCCCAGAACGCCTCGTTGGAGATTTCTCTTTTTCCATTGTTTTCTTCCTGGGTACAGTGACGTGCCCATACCCAAATGGACCCGTTACGTTACGACTTCCTCACACACACACACTCAATCTTTTCTCAGCTGCAGCTCCGCCGATGTCTCCTCCCTGAGACGGCGGGACGCGGCGAGGCTGTGAGTCGGTGTGTGTGTGTGTTTGGGCTGGGTCTCGCTGTCTCGCAGACGGCCACTGGGCTCATAGGGAGGGGGGGCTCCGCGGTCTCATTGTAGTAGACCTCAACAATGGAATTATGATCAGTAGAAGTGGCCATGACATGAGACCTTTAAATACTTTTACTTACTGTATGTACCATTCTTGTTGCAGTACTTTAACTTGAAATTGAGTTTTTGTACAGTGTGGTATTAGTAGTTTTACTCAAGTAAAGTATCTGAATACTTTAAACCAAGGATCCCAAGGAGTATCAGCAACATGTTCTTAAAGTTTAAAAAGTAAAAGTACTCGTTGAGATGTGTGTATACAATTATAATTATATTTATACATGTGACATTTCTACATAATAAGTAGCATTTTACTGTTGTAGACAAAGTAAAATATGTTAATAATTTTACTATTTTGTGACTTAAAAAGTTGAATTTTTAGAGATGCATTTTGTTAAAAAGTCAAATGTAGTGCAGTCAAATTACATTATTTCCCTTTCAAAATGTAATGATATAATATAAAGTAGCATAAAATAGAAATACAAGTACCTCCAAATTGCAATTAAGGATAGTACTTGAGTAAATGTACTTCCCACCACTGAGTAAACCTCACTCATCGACCTGTTGTGATGCTGCTCTCTGTCGCCCCCTGCAGGTTCTCTGGAGCAACATGCGGCCTGGCGTTAGTGTTCGTCTTCCCCTCATTGGTCCACATGATCTCCCTGAAGAGGCAGGGGCTGCTCCGCTGGCCCTCAGCGCTCTTCCACAGCTTCCTCATCCTGCTGGGCTTGGCCAACCTGCTGGGTCAGTTCCTCATGTGAACACTGAAGCATTTAGAAGCACCATGAAGGGATATATGAAATAAGGATGTAGATAAATGGAGTGCTAAACCACACACGGTGCTTACTATTCCACTTATTTAATGGCTAAATAATGACCGGATGAACCTCAGCAGCCGTAGATTTAATATCTGTTTCTGTGGTATAAAATGTAACATCACACTTACTGTTGTGATTTAAAAAGGCTTTATGTTTTAAGGGACTTTAAACCTATGTCTTGGTTTGATTATCTTTGTATTTCCTCTCACAATTACCGTTTTTTGATCGTTTCCTTCATGATTATTCCAACCTGCAGCTCTTTTGTTTCAAATCAAATCAAATCAAATCAGGTTTTATTTATAAAGCACATTTAAAAGCGATTTTTGGTCGAGCCAAAGTGCTGTACATGTAATAAAAAACACTACCACACCTCTCATAGTGTTGTTTTGACCTGTGAAACACCACTGTACACTACTCAGACACATTTAGAGCTGAAACCAAGAGAGTGTTGGACTTCTACCAATCGGATGGACAGAGACATTGCTCCAAAGGAATCCTCATGTTGCTCTCTGTCTGCTGGATGTGGAAATGCTCCATCATATCAGCTTAAAGTGTGATGCTGCTTTCACAAATGTGTTACTGCAGGGTCTAATTTGTTACAAAAGTGGATTAACCGCCGGATATTCTGATCATATACTGTGGAGTTGTGTCTGCATGACTCACTTTGGGGAATTCTCTCACTGTTTTTATGTTTTAAGGACAGCCATGTTGTGCGGATGTATTTTTGTTTTTCAAGAAACGTTTGGCACAATCTTTTAATTGTTATGAGCAGTGTTGATTTATGTGTTTGATATGTTTACATGATCCCTCTTTTCTAGATACTGCATCTAATGTGTTGTATGTTACTAATGATAGGATAGACAAAGGGAATATGTGCGTTTTAAATAAACCATCAGTCTGTGAGAACTGTAGCTCCTGCTTCCTGTTGTGCTTTTAACCGTGTGATCCTATTGGAGATAGTTGCAGTACAAAGGAGAAGAGACACATGTACATCAACACATTGTACGTGACAGGCTAAGGGGCGGGACATCTCTTAGCTGTTGACCAATCACAACAACGCCTATGCTGATATACACCTGAACATCAGCAGGAGAGGACTCTTTAAAGTAGAGACACGACATACTGATATACACCTGAACATCAGCAGCAGAGGACTCTTTAAAGTAGAGACACTACATACTGATATACACCTGAACATCAGCAGGAGAGGACTCTTTAAAGTAGAGACACTACATACTGATATACACCTGAACATCAGCAGGAGAGGACTCTTTAAAGTAGAGACACTACATACTGATATACACCTGAACATCAGCAGGAGAGGACTCTTTAAAGTAGAGACACTACATACTGATATACACCGAACATCAGCAGGAGAGGACTCTTTAAAGTAGAGACACTACATACTGATATACACCTGAACATCAGCAGGAGAGGACTCTTTAAAGTAGAGACACTACATACTGATATACACCTGAACATCAGCAGGAGAGGACTCTTTAAAGTAGAGACACTACATACTGATATACACCTGAACATCAGCAGGAGAGGACTCTTTAAAGTAGAGACACTACATACTGATATACACCTGAACATCAGCAGGAGAGGACTCTTTAAAGTAGAGACACTACATACTGATATACACCTGATCAGCAGCAGGAGAGGACTCTTTAAAGTAGAGACACTACATACTGATATACACCTGAACATCAGCAGGAGAGGACTCTTTAAAGTAGAGACACTGCATACTGATATACACCTGAACATCAGCAGGAGAGGACTCTTTAAAGTAGAGACACTACATACTGATATACACCTGAACATCAGCAGGAGAGGACTCTTTAAAGTAGAGACACTACATACTGATATACACCTGAACATCAGCAGGAGAGGACTCTTTAAAGTAGAGACACTACATACTGATATACACCTGAACATCAGCAGGAGAGGACTCTTTAAAGTAGAGACACTACATACTGATATACACCTGAACATCAGCAGGAGAGGACTCTTTAAAGTAGAGACACTACTGATATACAGCTGAACATCAGCAGGAGAGGACTCTTTAAAGTAGAGACACTACATACTGATATACACCTGAACATCAGCAGGAGAGGACTCTTTAAAGTAGAGACACTACATACTGATATACACCTGACCATCAGCAGGAGAGGACTCTTTAAAGTAGAGACACTACATACTGATATACACCTGAACATCAGCAGGAGAGGACTCTTTAAAGTAGAGACACTACATACTGATATACACCTGAACATCAGCAGGAGAGGACTCTTTAAAGTAGAGACACTACTGATATACAGCTGAACATCAGCAGGAGAGGACTCTTTAAAGTAGAGACACTACATACTGATATACACCTGAACATCAGCAGGAGAGGACTCTTTAAAGTAGAGACACTACATACTGATATACACCTGACCATCAGCAGGAGAGGACTCTTTAAAGTAGAGACACTACATACTGATATACACCTGAACATCAGCAGAATTTAGTTAATAGCTCATATCTGGGAAGATGGTAGCGTCACTACAAATAAAGGAGATGAGAAGTGAAAACAAACAGGTCAAAATCATTTGGAAGAGAAAACTAGACTGTTGTTAACCACAATTTCAGTTTTTATACTGTGGAGTTCAAAATTATCATTCCTAAAATACTACAGATAAAGACCCAAGTTGTAATAATCTAGCATTATCCCTTTAAAGTACTTAAATGTGTCATGCATTCTTTACATATAGTGTCAGTGAGGGATTTTCACCTTCAAAGCCTCTGTCCCTCAGCTCATGAGAACAAAGGGACCAGTCTCCACTGAACCATCACATCCCCTCCTGTGAGACGACCAGTCCTTCATGGTTGCCCCCAACAACCCTCTAATGTTCGGATTACCAACACTTCAATATGCAGTGGTTGGGTGGGTTATGTTAGAAATGAAATCCGTTGCAATTACTATTTACCTAATGTTTACCTGGTTCTTCATTTTCATATGTTTCGGCACATTTGTGTTTTTTTTACTTGCATCGATTTTGAAACTGCAGTGTTTTGGGACGTTGAAACATCTTTCCACCTGTCGGCCACCGTACTTCAGAACTAGAATTTGGAGATATAAGTGAAATATTACACAAATCAAATCAGGCAACCAATATAACAAAAATATCAGCAAGTAAAACATTTTCAACCGGCTCTTATTTGTGCTGCTCTGAGGAAACCAACGTCTATTCAGTTAATATATCTTTTAAAATGAAATGTCTATCTGTGCTGCCTTTTGATTTAGCTTTGATTTGGTTTCGAACACACCTCCATACTTCCATTTTATGAAGCTCTCCTCCTCTGGTGCATTCATCTTTCCAACTATTGAGCACCACCTCCCTCTGCTTGAGCACGTAATCACTGCACTTGTGGTGAGTGATTCCTCTTAAACAAAGCACTGCTTACGGAGTCCCAAAGGTGTCCCAAAAAATAAATAAATTAGCTAAAAAATTGTGTTTGCATCCCAAAAATGGATCAATAAATTAAGAATAGGATGTTTTTCTGCATTCACTCGTATGTTTCCACAAGTACTAATTTAAATATTTCCATATTTATTTTGAAATGTATTTTTTGTCCTACTTTTTTTATATAATTTTTCACTTTTATTGCCAATTTGTTTGCATCTCCTGTTCAAAAACAAGGGATGCTCTCCACTGGCTCCCATTGGCCGATCAGTGTGTGAGGAACAACAATGGTGGCGTACAGGATGTGAATTTTTTGTCAATTACATTTTAAAATACTCACTTTTTCCCAGCCTGAAAATCCAATGAGAACATGAGTAAACCATAAATCCATGTGGACATAAACAAATGAATACATACTTAATTTAAACTAATATCTTGAGCCCATTTTCTATTTGTTTTCTCCCCTATTGATTTATTTATTTATCTATTTCCTTTGTCAGTCTTTGGCCCCCCATGAAGGGTGAAAACGCTGAGGGGCGGATCAATATGCAGGTCTCTAATTCAGCAGACTGACAGGAAGTGCTCTCCCACAGATACCATTACTGGTATTAATTCTGTCCTGGGATTGGAGAGGGTCACCGCAGTGTCAGTGTGGCGCTGACCTGACCTCTGCGACTGTCTTCATCTTATTTAATCCTCACCAGGACTCTGGATTTTCCCGCTAACCTATTAGCCCGCATGGTGGTAGGGGGTTGGGGAACTAATAGTTTTATTGGTGGTCTGGGGGCTTTCCGTCACACTTGGGAAATGTTAGTTTTATGATCAATACACCCAGTTTACTGTGTCTTCTATTTAACAAATTGGATATAAAATAAAGTGTGATGAACGGATGTTTTCCAATTTTGTTGATTTTACTTATTGGTATTCAGAATACATTCAAAAGAGAATAGAATATATCGTTATTGTCATCATACAAAGTACAACGACATTTCTTTGGCAACTCTCACTGCAGTACAAAAATAGACACAATAATAAATAAATAAGAGTGGTAAAAGCAGAGGTAGTAGCGATGACAGTGCAACGAGATAAAATACAATGTCAATGTGCATATTTACACTTTACCAAGCTTGCACAAATGTTCTCCTCTGCTGAGCATTTGAACAAAATCTGATCACATTTAACACTTACTCCTACCGTTATCTTGTGTTCAGAAGCAATCTTCTTGATTACTATGGGCTGTGTTCAGTTCAAGAGTCACAGAAAGCCATTACAGTGAGAGGGATTGGCTCAAAGATAATAACTTAATTAGCTCACAATGGAAGAATCTAGTAAATACCCATTTGAATCAGAAACCAAGTTCATATCTTTGATGAAAGAGGGGGGAAAATAGGTGAGTTAAAGACCACTAAACATGCATAACGACCAGGTGGTAAGATGTATTAATGATGTGTGTATTTTCTTCTTCTTTTCCTGATTTAAATGTAGTTATTTTAAGTATCTTAGTGTGTATTTTCTCATGTGAGCCATGATAGTGTGACAATGACCCAGCATGAAATACACCAGGAGTCTGATAAACTGAAAATGAAACTTAGCTGTGATTAATTTCTTTGTTTATAATGTATTGTACCTGTGTATATCTATACTTCCTGCCAATGCACTTGCCCTGTTATTACACTAATGAATGCAGGAGAGCAGAGCACAAAGGCTGCATCCTCTCGGGGAGGATCATATGTCTGCTTCCCCGGCTCCTTCCCCTTGACAAAAAACACACCCTTCAGTATCAGCATAATCAATGGGGAGTGCTGCTGGACGGTGGGCGGCTACCACAGTTTTGCCGGCCTGTGATTCGCTGACATGCCCTCTAATTGGATCAAGTAGGAACTTGCTTAGCTGGATGCTTTGTGCTGGGATTGGGAGCAGCCTGCAGGAGAGAGGCAGACAGGAAGAGGGAGGAGGCCACTTGGAGGTGGGGTTGAGAGAAGAAAAAAGGGGAGTATTCTGTCTTCTCTGCCCTTCTGTGCTGCTGCAGCCCCCCCCCCCTTCTTCTTCTCTCTACGATTCTCTCTCTTTCCCCTTACTCATCTGTTTCTGTAGCTGCGCTGAGAGGAAGGGCACCTGCCGCTCCCTGATGATTCAGCCTTTCAGCTTCGTGGAGCTCTTCTCAGACAGCATGTCCCTCTTTCCTCTGCAGTGGCTGGCCGTCCCGTCTTCTGCTCTTCATCCTCTGCTCTTCATCCTCTGCACTACATCCTCACCTCCACACAGACTCTAAAGTGCTCAGGTGAGTGAGTGCTACTCTTCGCCTCTCTTCTACACCATGCAGAACATTTAAGGACTCTTTTTGTTGTTGTTTACAGCCAATGTGACGCTTCTATTTATAGATTTCCTGTGGGACAGCATGAGTGAGGAACTTGTGCGCAGAAGGCTGTCTTCCTACCTCCCAGACTGTTAACAAGCTCACTCTTCAGACCTTACTGCCGCCTCATGATGGAAAACATAGTCGAGGAGACCGGTGGCAGACACTGTGATGCTCTGAGTTAATAGTGTAGGTGTTCAGAGACCCAGAAGGATGACCGAGGGAATGGAGGACATCTCTCCCCCTCCTGGACAGGCCTCCCCCACCAGCTCTACTGTTGACACTGGACAAGTCCCCGAGGAGAAACCAGAGGAGAAACCAGAGGAGACGGAGGCAGCTGGCGAGGGTGGGGAGGGTGCAGAGGGTGATGGGGAACATGTGGGGGCTTTGGGAGTCGTGGCCTTGCCTGGAACCTGCTGTGTGTGCATAGAGATGGAACGGATTAACAATTGTCTGCACTCGGAGAAAATCTGCATCCTTCCCATCCTGGCCTGTCTGCTGAGTTTAGCCCTCTGCACCGCCGGCCTCAAATGGGTCTTTGTGGATAAGATCTTTGAGTACGAACCCCCCACACACTTAGATCCCAAACCCATCGGACAGGACCCCATCATCATATCTGTGACCCCCACGCTGGGACTGACTGTGTCCACCCCTCACTCGCCGTCTATGTCTTTTGTCTCCTTGACCACGGCCATTACCTCGGGACGTCCTGACGTTTCAATGGAGGAGAAATCCACTCGAGGGCCGTACGTTTCCCCTCGAGTGACTCACGCTGATGCCTCTGTGACTCTGAAATACAACGCAGAGCGGCCCACCCTCCCAAAGCTGACTCCCCTCCCTCGGACAACACAGGAGAGAAACGACATCTTCATCCCAACTAAATGTAAGTGCCTCACTTAGTTTAGTCGTTTCCCACAGCATGTCCCTTTGTTCCAGAAGGCTCTCTAGTATCAGGATGTCAGTATGGGGTTCCCAAGCTTAACCTTGGACTGTGATTTTCTTCTTTTTTTTTTTACAGATAAGCTGAGTGTGTCCCTGTTTTGTCATTGTGTTTGCAAATGGTGCGTTCTTTCCTCTGTCAGGAAGAGTCTCCTGCAGACACGTTGTGACTTGCAGAGTGTAGCAAGAGGCCCATGACCTAGCTGCTGAAATATTCCTCCACACTCTGAAGGTGTGAAAGGAAACAAGTGTTCTACCCCTGCAGTGAATGCATTATTTCTAACACTCACTCGCTCATCCTTAAGTATTAATACTCCCTGATTGAAACCACAATGATGCAGGGCACCATTCAATACATTCATGATGTTATTTGGAAGCAGCATACAATATGCAAGAGCCCTAAAATGTGTCAATGCCCATTATTCAGTGGTATGAAAAAATCAATAAATGATGCAGGACACAATGTGGAACTCGTGGCTGTGGTACAAGGAGACTTCCTGTTTTCTTGCGCTCCATTTCAAGGTCAGAGCCGGCTGGAGGCTAATTGATGCCCCCTCCATCCGCCCGCCGGCCGCAGGGAAAACATCCACTAATACTGTCTGTCTGCCGGCGGCTCGCCACCGTGACGTCTCTGTTGTAGTCACATCACCGTGTGCTTTATGACTCTGGGTTAGCTCATCTGAGAGCATGGCGGTGGCGGCCTGAGCCTCGGTCAAAGTATATATCCACATGATCCACAGCATGAGAAGACGATGCCTCTAGATCAGGGGTGTCCAAACTACGGCCCTGGGTCCAAATGCGGCCCGCGGACCATTTTGAATCGGCCCTCAGCAAATTCAAAAAGTATAATGTAATACGGCCCACAAATGAAACTTGAGCTTGTCTTGTATTGTACTTCTTAAATATAAATGTACAAATATATTACACAGTAGTATTCATGTGTTAATAAGAACACTTTTTAAATAAATTCAGTCAAGTTGGAAACATTTTCTAACAAATCTTAGTTGATAAGAAAAAAGCCCAATGACTTATTTACGTAAAACAAGCTGGAAATAAACCCTTCCTATTTCTCCTTATTATAATCAATCTGAGGCTTCTGTTTTAAGAGATGAGCTGCCAACACTCACAAGCATCATGTACCTACATCTGATTGATTTTGCTGACTTATAACTGAACTTATGAGGCGATATACCTCTAGTGAGTGGCTCAGACCTATGTATATTTTTCTGTATTCTCGGTGAAAGAAGTTTGGACACCCCTGCTTTAGGTCCTTTGCTTTTTTGCAAAGGGATAATTCTAGATGACCGGTCACTGCTAATAAAAGCAGTGTAACATTTGGGCGCGTTAGTGGTGCTTTTACCTGCTGACAGTCAGTGGTACTTTCTTACAGCAGTCATGTGGGTCAAACACATGTTGATGTACGCCAGTGATGGTTCAATGGGCCTCATGCAAGAACATATTTGTAATCCTTATCCTAAAGTTCTCATACTTTGGGATAAACAAACGCTCCTAAATGGGAAAATGTCTCTCAGAAATGTCTCCTTGCAGCCTGATTGGATGCCACCTGTTCATGCATCATGAGATAATGCAAACTCAAAAGCAAAAGTTGCCACGTAAGGCAGCACATTCTGCTCCCTGTGCTTTTGTTATGAGGACAAATACATCTTAAATATGACAAATTGAACAGCAGTCCGGATAGAAAAAGGGTTGTAATATATATTCAGAATAGAGCCGCAATGATTTATGATGATTCAACAAGAAATGAGTTCTCCACGACTAATATTAGAGGTGGTCATGTGACTCATATTGCATGACAAATAACTAAAGCCACAACAGGTGATTGTACACTGTCAGGCTAAACTGTCCTAGTTTCCGTGACCATATATTGCAATGAGATCAATACACTGGCTCTTACGTGGCATGCCATGATGATGATGAAGATGATTTGGTAAACAGAATATCCATTTGCAATAAGTCTGTTGCCCTTTACAGTAATTATGTTTATCTCCACATTCGTTCAGATCAAACGCATCATGATATAAGGTGAGGTCTAACTGTTTATCCGCCTATGGCAAACCAACAGTTTGTACATGAACATTTGCAACTGCCACAAATCCTCCTAAATCTGTCATGGTGCCACTTAAGATAACCTTTGCTTGTTGTTGTTGCAGCACTGACTCATGCTTGTTTGTTCATGTAATTATGGGGATAGTGTGAAGGCCTTGTAATATTCTTAAAGTGCACTAGTAGTAAGTAACATGTGCCTTCTAATCTGTCTCTAAGGACTAGTTTGTATGAGCTTGGAGTCTCCATAACAGCACACACTTACAGTCTGAGGGAAGTGACAAAAGTTATTTGAAGATTAAAAAAGGACTTTCAGACTTCCAGCTGTGAGTGTGTAGGAAGGGAACCCGATTGTTGGATGTCTGCTTAAAGGTCCCCTATTATACGGTTTTTCATCAATATATTACAGGTCTCAGATATATACAGAACCTGTCTCTGATTGGCTGAAACACCAAACAGATCATTGCAGCATCCCAGAATCCCCTCTGTTTCAGCCCTGTTTCCAAAGTGCTGATTCTCTGTCTGTTACTTCAGATGAAAATAAGGAGCCCCTCCCCACGCCCCTCTGAGAGATATTTGGTTAAAAAGAACACAATGGTGCTCTAGGAGGAGATTCAGGTGATAAGTGGGGGGGGGGGGTACCTTGGTTGCCGATTGGCTAATGGTTACACAAGCCAAAACATAGTTATGACATCATAAAGTGGCCAAAATCTGATCAGCTCATTTTCAGACAGGTTTTTATATAAATGGATCAGGACAAAAAGAGAGAATCTTTGTTCCTGAGACTTCCAGAATCTCTTTGCACAGAGACATGAAGAAGAGGGGACACATGTTGATGTAGAAGAGACATGAAGAAGAGGGGACACATGTTGATGTAGAAGAGACATGAGGAAGAGGGGACACATGTTGATGTAGAAGAGACATGAAGAAGAGGGGACACATGTTGATGTAGAAGAGACATGAAGAAGAGGGGACACATGTTGATGTAGAAGAGACATGAAGAAGAGGGGGACACATGTTGATGTAGAAGAGACATGAAGAAGAGGGGACACATGTTGATGTAGAAGAGACATGAAGAAGAGGGGACACATGTTGATGTAGAAGAGACATGAAAAAGAGGGGACACATGTTGATGTAGAAGAGACATGAAGAAGAGGGGACACATGTTGATGTAGAAGAGACATGGAGAAGAGGGGACACATGTTGATGTAGAAGAGACATGAAGAAGAGGGGACACATGTTGATGTAGAAGAGACAGGAACAAGTGGATTTTGCACAATAGGTGACCTTTAAGAAAATTTGAATTCGGCTATTGGAGAGGTGGTTTGTCATTTGTTAGACGCTTTTATCCAAAGCGACTTACATACAATGGACAATCCCCACAGGAGCAATTTGGGGTGAAGTGTCTTGCTCAGGGACACAACGACATGCTGACTGCAGTGGGACTCAAACTTGCTATCCCTTGATTCGAAGTGCAGCACACTATCCACTTAGCCACAGCCTCCCATTTTGTTAGAAGCAAATTAAGACCTTGAACCTCCTGCATGTGACTCCGCTGATCAGCTCCTTCTAGGTAGCGACCAGAGATGGGGTCGTTACTAAAAAAAAGTAATATATTACATATTACATATTACTTTAAAAAAAAGTAATATATTACACTACTTCGTTACTCTCTACATAAAGTAACTCGTTACTTTACTCGTTACTTTACTCGTTACTTTACTTGCAGGGCCGGCCCGCCCCTCCCTGCAGGCAGATCACGCAGACTGCTAAAGTTTCAAATGTTCTCTTTAGTTCAGTTTCCATTGTCGCATAAGACTGATCCAGATAGCTCTGACTATGGCTGTCCTCTGTCTCCTGCTATCTGTATTTTGCGCAGTATATCTCTGAACGATGCGATGGTGATTCCACTGTGCAAATGGGCAACATTACCTCTACTATGAAGGATGCTACAAGTCTGTCCATCTCTGCTTTGGTTACCGGTCCTCCAAATTCTAATTTGTGCCGCTTCAGAGTCGGCGGCGGCGCACAACATCCTCACTCTGGGTTCGGGGGTCCTTAGCTATTAGCTTCACCTTAGCATGTGTTCTTTGCAGGTGTTTGTTGAGGTTTGACGTGGTGTTTGCAGCAGTGGATAACAGCTTCTGGCCTGGATACAGTTTGCACCTCACCGTCACATTCCTGTCTATTCTTCGGACGAACTCAAAATAATGGGCATACCTCCACCCCTCGAAAGTTATAGCTGACTCAGCCATGTTTATGCAGCTCTGCAGGTGGAGATCATGGTGGAGATGTGGACGCGCAAGTCGCGCAGATTACGTACATATAAACCTGCGGCGGAAACCCCTCTTGTCTGTCAGTGTGATTATGACTGATTTATAAAAGTAACGAAGTAACGCGTGTCGGGGCAATGTTAGTAACTGTAGTGTGATTACTGAATTATAAAAGTAACGCGTTACACTACTCCGTTACCGACAAAAGTAATATTATTACAGTAACGCGTTACTTTGTAACGCGTTACACCCAACTCTGGTAGCGACACCTTGTGTAGGGAGGAAGGACACGGCTGTCCACAAACTGCTGCCACAGCATGGGATACTATGGGATGATTCTGCAAAACCCCAAATGATGTCTCGTAATATTTTATAGCTTCCAATGCCAGCCAAATAAATGATTTCTACATTATCTGTCTTGGAAGTACACCAACAAAGGCTTTCACATTTTTTATAGGGAAAGGAAATGCACATTTATCACACCCAGTGGTGGAAGAAGTACCTAAATTATTAACTTATTAGAAATAATATGGTCTTTATATACTTCATTATCAGGTAAATGTACTTAAAGTAAGAAAAGTAAAAGTTCTCCGTTTGAACAATGTCC